TTTTTAATTATGTGGTGATTTTTTGTCTTACTTTCATGCTTGAGTCTTGCTTTTACTTTTGCATCTTATTGAGCAGTTTAAGCAAAAATAAAGTTGTGGGGTGTGAAAGAAGAAACTTTGAAGGTCAGAGTGTTATGAAAACTGTTAGGAAAATGCAGAATTTGGTTCAAGAGGAGAATGTGATTCTGACTTCTACTCAAACAACTCATTCAGGATTGAAGTGACTGCACAGAAGGGGGAGCTAGAGGAATGACTTATTTCATGCATTGTCACTTTATTTATGTTTGAAGTATTTTGAATTGGTTTAAATGTGGCATATATAAGTTTCTTTATGTAACAAATATCATCACTATAGCTAAATTAAACTCCCTTCCACATGTTGTGCACTAGTAAGATGTGTTTATTACAAGTTTGTATTTTCAAATAAAAGTTTAAATACCCAAGTAAGTCGAGATGTATAAATTTTTCAGTTGTAACATGTTGTGCACAATGTGAAATTGTCTGTCAACAAGACATTGATGTCTGGTCACAGATAATAGCTACTGAAATGACCTTGAGTGCTAAATGATATTGTTCGTGAACCAGACATTAGGTGGTCGATCACAGACAATAGTCACTTGAATGGCGTAATGTGCTAATTGCAATTGTTTGTGAATAAGAAATTAAATATCTGGTCAGAGACAATAGTTACTAGAATGACCTATTGTGCTAAATGATATTGTCTGTGAACTAGACATTAGTTTTCTGGTCACACGCAATAGCCACTCCAATGATCTATTGTGCTAAGTGAAGTGTCTAGTTCACCGGACATGAAGTGTCTAGTCACAGGAAATAGTCACTGGAACGTGTTAATGTGGAAAGTGAAAGTGTTTATGAGACACGCAATTTGTCTGGTCACAAACAATTGCCACTGCAACGGATTAATGGGTTAAGTGAAATTGTTTGAGAACCATACACTAAGTGTTTGGTCACATGCAATAATCACTGAAACGTGCTAATGTGTAAAGTTAGTGGAACACAAATGGATTGTCTAATCACAGACAATAGTCACTGGAAGTCTGGAACGGGTTAATGTGCAAAGTGAAATTGTTTGTGAACCAGATATGAATTATCTGGTAACCGTCAATAGTCTCTTGAAGTCTTGAACGAACTAATTGGGTAAGTGAAGTTGTCTGTGAACCAGACATGCATTGTCCGGTCACACAAGAGTCACTGGAACGGGCTAATAAGCCAAGTCAAATTGTCTGTGGACAAGACATGAAGTGTATGGTCACAGACAATAATAACTGGAATGGATTATAGTGCATGGTTAAATTGTTTGTGAGCGAGACGTGAAATGTCTGGTCATGTGTATCGTATATACATAGCACATTCAGCACTTCTCATAGAAATATAAGTAATTACAAGAATAAATCATCTCATCCTGCGTTTTGAACAGACATTCTTAACAAGTTATCAAGACTAGGGCTGGGAAAAAACTCCCGACTCCCGACTCCCGATCCCGATCCCGACAATCCCGATCCCGAAAATCCCGATCCCGACAATCCCGATCCCGACTAGTCGGGAAATTTTCCCGATCCCGACTAAGTCGGGACGGGACCGGGATTTTTTTTAAAAAAAAGTCGGGATCGGGAAAATCCCGACATCCCGACATTATATATATATATATATAATTATATATATATACATGTATATAATTATATATGAATATATAAAAAATGAATATGTATCTAAATATTTGCACATCTTTTTTAATTACTTATTCCTTACATAGATTAATCTTTTACTACGAGTATCTTACAATATCAAACTTCTAAAACTATTCGGCATTTGTCCGAAAATGAATATTCGGTATCCTAACTAAGTAGAGATTATTCTTGATCCCAACAATCTAAATCACAACATACAATATTACAAATTTTGCGGTTCTGATGAACTCTTTAAAAAATTGTGATCGAGACTAAGATTTCTTTCTTTAGTAGATAATCATAATATGTATTTACATATTATATTCATTGGTCACAAAGTTTCTCAATGAGTCTACTTAGTTTTGAATTTTAAATAATATACATTACATATCCTTCTTTTAGTGTTTTTTATATATTGTTTGAAGTAAGTTTCACTAAGCCTTGATAGCTTATTCAAAAATTATACTATTAATTAATTGATGTTACACATAAAAATTATTCTAGAAGTATATACTAGTGTGAGTTTGAGATGATAATTATTACAACAACTTTTATAAGTAGATGATGATAAATATGGTATAACAGTAAACAAAGAATAATATTGAAACCATTAAATATCAAAGTTAGTGTTTAACTTAAGAAATTACATAATTTTATGTTTGATACTTCATTGTCGGGATTTAGCGGGATTAAGCGGGATTCCCGATCGGGATCCCGACTTAATCGGGATTTTAATGTCGGGATCCCGACTTAATCGGGACGGGATACGGGATCCTCTTTGAGTTTGAATCGGGATCGGGACGGGATCGGGATTTGGGCAATCGGGATCGGGATCATCCCGATCCCACCCCTAATCAAGACCAACATTTTCATTTATTACTCAAATTGATATACTTGTACAAGATATTCAAAGAGTTAATGCCAATAATTTAATGTACACCTCCACATGATACAAGACTATGATACGTCTACAATCCAAATATCCATAGAAAATTTCTAGGACTTAATAAGCTCCATGTGATATTAGTTGACATGCATCAATAGGGCATCATTTTGCCTCTTTTTTGTTGCCAGCTTTTATCTGAAAAACACAGGAAGAAGAAAACAAAACAAAAAATAAATTTGAATTACATAATTTCATAATCTCTAAAATATGTGATCTATGATTATTTGATTCAAACTAAACACCACCCCCATTGAGTTTAGATCACAAGCCCCCTTTCACAACCAAGCAAAAGAGATTGTCGCTACAATTAACGGAAAAAATTGCAAGAGTTAGTTCCACTACACCCATCTCTAGGAAAAATCACTAACAGGATGGGAACAAAAAACTACAAGAACCAGCCCCACTACCCCAAAAAAATGCAAGACACTCCTCATGGAAGAAGAAAATACAATTGTAAAAACAAAATCACGTTAAGAAAGAGTTAACAAGTATAGAAATAGATGAAGAAAAAGCACATGTCGGAGAAATTGATACTGATTTGGAACACCGCATAAGAATGAGAGATGAAATATGATATGTGCATACACACTTGTAACTATGATGGATACACCACAGATTTTTTTTTAACTAAACTTCATCAACATCGGTATACTACACTTAAACATTACACTAACAAGCAGCATGGGCTGAACAAGGTAAATACTTGTGAAAAAACATAAAATAGAGCATTATACAGAGACCATATTCTCCAATAATTCAATGCCTAAATCATCTAAATTCAATTATAGGGAAATTGATCATTTCAAATACAGGGGACATCTCAAACAGAGCTCCTCTACATATGAACAAATACTGGATGTTAAAAAGATAAAATATGGAACATTTGGAATGACAACAAATTTAGGGGGGTGGGGGGGTTAAAAAGGTCAAACTGGATGTTTTATCAAATTTGATAAACTACAAGGATAAATAGTGTTAGCATCCCAACGATAAAGATCAAGAACACCAAGAAGATATTTCGGACATGCTTTTATATCAATTAAAAGCCAGTGTATGTTTTGAAAACTATACTTAAATTTCAAATTTATACTTGAAAATGCATAAATAAGACAACAAAGCATGCAAAACCCTGAAAACAAGGAATAGCAGGAGGCAATCTATTATTCATTGAGAGAATAGTGCAGAAGCAAAATATTTGCATTTAAGAAAATGGACTAACTCATGATTGTGTCAGTTTAAAAATAGGTGCTCAATAAGAGATGAACGCATTATGTCTAACACAAATGAACACCTAATATGATAAAGAAAAAATAAGAAAAGATTAGCTAAACCTTTACCTCACTATCTGGAACCAAGAAAAATTCTTTGTCTTTAGAATTTTCTAAAACAAGAACACTAATAGGCATGACCTGCAATGAGGCAAAGAAAAAAAAAGACAAATCTTGATATAAATACTCATGAAAGGAGCACATTTGGAACCTAAATCACCGGAATAACAAAGCAAAATCAGAACATCTTTTGAATAGATGCATCTTATCAATCTTTTGATTGACCTGGTATGAAAAGAAATAGCATAAAATGAGCATAAATCACTGAATAATGAAAGGAAATACATTATAGACATTAGTAAAAAAGTAATTTGTATTTAAATAATAAAAAAGAAAAAGAAGAAGAATTGCATGCATGTATTTAACAGAGATTTAACCAAAGAATCTAATAATCGAACTATCTATCTTATTCTAACTGACTGTTAGCTTTTTGTTTTAACTTTTAATTAATTAGTGTTATCTTTCCAATCATTTTGCTTTTCATTTTCAAACAAACCCCTATGTTTGTGTAAGCACTTCTGAAGTATAAATTGCTAAAACTGAAAAGTATACAATGTGGGTGTGTAAAAACCAACCAAAGTGATCCTAATGATGTTAAGTGTAAGTTCTCTAATACACAATGACAGAATAAAGTAACCAGAAAATAGGCTAATTGTTACTCAGTATAAATTTTAAAATATATCCCACTTTTTAAACCTCCCACAATACTACATTAGGACCTAATATTGAAGGCCTGAAAAATAGTGTATTAGCATACATGATTGTCAACTTCACAGTTATCTTCTAGAATTAATTTGAATGTGTTCTCGATTGAAGTTTTTGCTGCAATTTGGTATGAGTAAACTAGATTTGATAAATAAGATGCTAAAAAAATTCATCAAAAAATTCCACCGGGAACTGCTCCAAATCGCGACGGCCGGACAGAGCCTCCTATATAAGAACTTATTTGACCTTTTATGAAAGTTCGAGAACCTACTTGACAGTTTTCTCTTTATTTATTGAGGAGTCGCTCTTACTTATGAGACTCACCCATAATGGGCCATATCTAATTTATGGGCTAGCTCTCTTGTGAAATCCTCAAACTCTTTCTTAAATGGGGGATCCAAAGAAACAAGAAATTTTGAAAACCCAGAGATTCACATTGCGAGTTAAATCAAGATTCACTAAAAGGCAGGTAACCAAATGCAAAATGAAATCCTGTTTATGACGACTACAAAATCTAAATAGCTTCTCTTTTCCCATTTTGCTTGCAACTTTGGAGTCTGGAGTGTGGTAGGTGTTCAGCTAGATTTCTTTCAGTTTGTGCTGTTAAGCTGCTTGATGGAATTCTCACGTCAGGCTAGAAGAAATATGAATTACTGCATTTTCTTCCGCTATGAATTATTCTAACTTTCTCAGTATATCTTGTGTAATCAAATATTGAATACAATTATGCAACAATACTATCGTAATACTTTTGTTAATGTATTGAAATATATTAATATAAATTCATTCATCTACAGGGGCGGATGCACAGCTACAGTATGGGGGGCAGCTGCCCCCATTAAACTCCTAATAATTCCCAATATTCTACTAGGAAAATGTTTACTACATAGAATTGCCCCCAATAAAAAAAAATGCAAATGCCCCCACCCAACTCCACTCAGCCCAAAGCAAAATGATATGCTCCGTATGGCCCAATGCCCCCCCATCATAATGCTCTGTACTCCTTATGCTTCAAATTTTGGTTATTGTATAATTAATACTCCCTCCGTCCCTTATAACTTTGCCAACTTTCCTTTTTTGGATGTCCCATTAACTTTGCCACTTTCCCATTTAAGTAAAGAATTTGTGGTTCCAGTTAATTCTCTCTCCTCTGCACAAACCTCAACCACACAGTTTTTACTTTATTAATCCTTGTGCCGGTCAAACTTGGCAAAGTTATTAGGGACGGAGGGAGTATGTGTTAAAGTGTTATGGTGTATTTGTGTTAAATTGTTAACATTTAAATTTTGATTGGTTTGATTTCCTCATTAATTTTTTGTTTTCATTAACGGTTTCTTTCCATAACTACAACTCTACAAGTTTTTTAATAAAAAATTCACTTCTAAAAAAGGTTAACATTTAAATTTTAAGAATTACGATTTAAGGATTACTAAAGTCATATAAAATAATACATACATAGTATAATTTTTACATAGCAATCACTCTTGGAGAAGGTTTTAAGATATATACAGAGACATTAAGAAAGCCATATAAAATATAGAGCCCGTTTGGTGAACCTATTTTTCGTCTTATCAGTCTTATCAGCCAACTTTTTTATCAACCACATAACTATTGACTTCGTGTGCTAAATGATATAATAACCAAAATAAGTAAGGTTGAATTACTTTTCTGGCTAGATTGACTGAAGTTATTGTAGACGGTCATTTTAGTTATTATTTATATAAATTTTTTGTCATTATATTAATAAAATACTCGTATGTTTTTATTTTTTTCATAAATTTGCAGAATCGGCTAATCCCGCCACTTCAGCTAGAACTTCATAAATTTCAGCAGAATCAGCTGATTCAATGTTACCAAACGGGCTCATAATTTTTATATAGCTACCACTCTAGGAGAAGGTTTAAGATATATAAAGACAAAAAAGTACATTAGTTATCAAAAAATTAATTACACTTTTTAAGGTTTTTATATATTGTAATATACTTTATTTACTTATGAAATTTGGGTGTATTTTATTACAAATTTTTACTATTCGGGTATATTTGGTTGTGTTTTTCATGGACCCCATTTTTGTTCTGCCCCAAATAGCTCCGTTTCCTGGATCCGCCACTGTTCATCTATGTGACAGTTTTTACTAATTTGCTGTGTGGGTGTCTTGTAGAAAATTTGAAAGACGGGACGGACTTGAAGTGAACTCAAGCATAGCTTTGAGACAGTTGTGTGGATTTTCTGATGGGGAGGTGATGAGATCAGATTGTAAGCCATGTTCCAGATTGATGAGACATACTGCTGGAATCTTCTCATTTGGAGGAGCATTAGGCTTTTGGGTGTTGTGTCGTTTGCACTACGGTCTGTCTTTTACTCTTTCAAATAATACGTGGTAAAAAATAAAAAATTGCATTTGGTCTTCAAGTTTCTTGTTCTTAATTCTTACTACGTATCTTGGATCTATAGATGTTTTATTTGCTGGAAAATAAATTTAAAAAAATCAGAATTGAAGGAAAGCCATGCCTCAAAGTTAAAGTTGTGCTATGATTTATTTACTTGGTTATAACAGGGATGATGATTGAGCGTTTTGGAAGTCCACTGACCTTTTTGTGCATGTATGGACACATATTTAGATAATTGTTCTGCACTTCTTTGTATTGAACTTGCTGTAGTAAAGTGCTGTTAAAGACATGCTAATGATATGTAGGTATTAGTGATATTCCTTTATGTTAGGTACTTAGGTAGCCAGTAGCCTTTATTAAACCAAACCAATAATCTGTCATTGCATTTTATTTATGTATTAATTTCCTGGTAGGTATACAAGTACATAGGGCAGGACTTTAATTTCTAGTTTTGTTAAACACACTTCGAGTCTCTCTCCCAGACTCTCACAGTACGTAGTTGCAGCTTCTCTAACTCCAACTCCAATTTTGCTTCTGATTCCTTTTTCTTCTTTTGTTTATTAAGAATTTTATGATAAAGATAATGTATCTGGTTTAACATGCTGCCAAAGTGATGTGGTTCAATAGTGTCATGAAAGAACATCCTTGTGAAATAATGGGAAAGAGGTACTCCAATAGGAGTCCTGACAGATATATTTATAGTAGAAGAGTTGCCAAAATACAAAGTATTCCTAAATAGATATTAGGCAGATTCCTAAATATCTATTAGGTAGATTCCTAATTATATTAGCCTATTACACCCCCTCAAACTGTGCGGGAGATACAACGCGCAGGTTGTCTTTTAAAAAAAATGAAATTGCAAACTAAAAAAACACTCTTAGTAAATATATTCGTGAGCGGAAGATTAGAAGGCACATCTTTGACAATAAGATCTCCATGAGAATATATGTCTGCAGCAGCAAGCGACGAACTCAACAGCGCGCTTGAAGCAAGCACCATGGTCAGCGACGCAGAGAAGGTGGGCTGCGCGGACATAGGCAGCAGCAGGCGGCGAACTCAACGGCACGCTGGAAGAAAGCACCGTGTTCAGCGACGCGAAGGAGGTGATCTGCGCCATATTAACTGTGCTCATCTACAAAGGATCGAAGACTACCGTAAATGTGGCGGCAGTCGACCCCGAGGCGGACGCGGCTATAATAAGGTTCATGGGAACCGAAAAATAAAAGAGAGAAAAAAAATGTGTCTAAAAACCTAAGCTCTTGATACCATGTGAAATAATGGGAAAGAGGTACTCCAATAGGAGTCCTGACAGATATATTTATAGTAGAAGGGTTGCCAAAATACAAAGTATTCCTAAATAGATATTAGGCAGATTCCTAAATATCTATTAGGTAGATTCCTAATTATATTAGCCTATTAATCCTGAGCTCTCGTCTAATTGTCTTTGTTCAAGTCAGCTTAGATCTTTGTCCACCCCCTCATATGCTGTACTTATAATTTATATGCCTCTGCACCAACTATCCCGGAGATGTACTTAATGTGGAAGATGGGAAAAAAATGTACGTCCGGGTGGGGGGGCAGCTATTTTTTTTCTCTTCCGAAACATTTAACTTGTAGTTGTAATTTGGTAAACCCCCTTCCCCCCACAATGATCAAGTTACAACATTATTCCGAGAAAGGTACAAATCCTATACCACTTTTATCTTTCAAAAAAAATGATTTCCTGTAACTAAATGTATCATATTGAACTTGTTTGTAACTGTCTTTTCTTTAGGAAACTGACACCACAAATTAACTTGTGGAACTGGACTTTTTTGGACAAATGAGAACTTTTTAGACAACTCTTCTTTCTGTCCAGAACTCCGGATGGCGTTCAAATTTTTTAGCACTTCGCTGGAGACTGAACTAGAACGCTGCTTTTAGTAGCATTTTCTATGGAAGTGTTGATTAGCGTTTTGGTGGAATCCCTGATAAGAAAACAATGCCAAAAAAAATTGTATGCTACCAGTTAACTTATTCTGTTTTGTTGCTTTTACAGACATGCTTGGAAATCATTAAACCGTGATTTTGCATTGCTGTATGACATGTCCAAGAAATGTGATTTATACTGTTCATGTTACTGCAGGTCCAAGAGTCAATGTTCCCCGAAGTCTGAGATGGGCAGCGTGTGGAGCAGTCTCTATGAGTTGTACCACTGCATTTCTGGTTCGCCTATTTAGCCCAGAATGTGAACCCCAAAACATATCTGCTTATGACAAGAAAGGATAATGCCGTTTCTTAACATATCTGCGTATGGTTCGCAAGTTTTGATGATGGATTATTGTATGATGGCTGTTGGGATGTCATGCTTGCACAGGGTATCCTAAAGCGCCCTGCTTGATTGATTTTTTGTGATTAGACACTTTTAGTCATTGCATCTTTTAAAAAAATAAATGAAGGGTGGGAATTGACCCGTGACCCGCCCGCCCTGACCCGACTTGAAAACCGTCTGAGTACCCAGACCAGAATCGGTACTGGACCAAATTTCATATGAAAAGATAAAAATGTCCTTCCATTAACAATTTTATTAACCTTTAACATATTCTTGATTGAGGGCATTTTGGTCTTTTCATATGGGGTTGGGGGTGCAAAAACAAGGAGTTTTAAAAACGGCGTGCAAAGTCCAATTTAGATAATAATAATAATATGGGGTGCAAACTCAAATTACCCCAAAAATTAAGGCCTCAATTGTAATATATCCGAGGAATATTCTTTTATAATATTATTCCGTATGTATTACAATTATGATTGTTATTATTTATTCACTAACGCAGATAAATCTCAATCGACAGAACAAGATTTTTACAAAACAATTGTTCGGTTCAATTATCTATCTATAGATAATACATTTGAAGGTTACAATTAGAGAAAGTATTGCCACATGTCAATTCAACAATTATTGTTTTAAAATCATTATTCAAATTAAATGAAAGCTATGGACGAGTGTGATACCGTTTCTCATATAGGAATTGTACTAATGATATGTACAACTCCTATTTAGGACTCCATAAAAAACCTCATGTTTTTTTAAACTGTGATAACTTTTTCATTTGTACTCTAATTATAATAAAAATGATATCAAAATTCATAACTTTTTATAATCTTTTAAATGACACCAATATTGAATATACAAAAATAAAAAATAATTTAACACTTAAAATATTTATTTTTAAAAAAATATATGCAATTCTATCACAAATTTAGAAGTAATTAAAAGCTTCCTAAAATTTAGTCATTCGTAGATTATTACTCCTACCGCTCTTACGTACTTAAAAAGGCTTTCCTAGACTACAACTCCAAAAATCTAGCATTACTTTATTTTTTTATCAAACCGGAATTAGAACTCCAAGAGTTAAAAACTCTTTTGTGGATTAGAATTAGAATAAGAACTCCATTAGAATAAGAACTCCACGACTTAGATTAGAGTTCAACCAAATTAGAATTCCAAAGGGAGAAAATCATTGAGGGGCCCATGAAAATAAAATTTCATGCTTCTTTTAAAGTGTTATAGTTTTTTAATTTGTACTATGATTGTTATAAAAATTAGATCACAATTCATAACTTTTTATTACCTTTCATATGACATCAATATTGAATATATAAAAATATAAAAATAATTTACCACTTTCAAAAAATATAAGTTTTTTAATCTTTAAAGTGTTTTTTTGTACTCTGATTGTTACATAAAATATATCAAAATTATCAAACTTTTATTAACTTTTTTTATCATAAAATTTTACTAACTTTCATATGACATCAACGCTCCTTATATACAAATAATAATAAGATATTCTATTAATTTTTGCAATTTAAGACTGTTTTTTACAATGCACACAATTAACTAGAAGTGATAGCTTAGAATAAATCTGTACACACACCGTCACTTTTATTTATTGTTTTATTCTTTGCGCTAGATTTTGGCAGTTTTAGTCTTATCACTCCAATTAATAGATTTTTATACATATGCAACTTTGGTGTCATATGAAAAATAAAAAAAAAGTTATGAATTTTGTAACAATAAATAATTTATAGCAATTTGAAAAAACAGATGTTATTTAAAGTGTAAATTTTTTTCATTATTTTATATCTTCAATATATTGAGGATATTTCTTTAAAATTGTAAAATTTTAAAGTGTAAAATTATTTCTTCATTAAAATTTATATCTTCTTTTTATTTCTTCATTATATACATATATATATACATATATATATATATATATATATATATGTATGAAAGTTAGAACATGTATATAAGTTTTTAAAATCTTATTTTTAATACTTTTTTCCAATAATTTTAAAAATATGGTTAAGAATTATGGAAATTTAATTATTTTGTCGTGTACGGTTAGAATTCAACAAAATTCTATACATTATTTATGAAGAAATTTTTCAATATCCACATGGGCTCATAGGTTAGGGTTTAGTTTGGGACATCGAAATGTAGGTGGAGGCAAATGTCTGAATTTAAGACTATTGTCTGAACTATAGACTGTTGTGTGGAGATGAATTTCGAAATGATGCATCTGAATTGTTTTTCATTAGATGAGGTAAATTTGCAATTTGATTCTAAAATGCAAAGTTTGCTATCTTTGACAAAGAAAATTCAATATGACGAACCTTTTTAGACGGATGTAATATTATATATTAAAATCTCAATTTTAATACTTTTTAAAATCTTAATTTTAATACTTTTTCCAATAATTTAAAAAATAAAATGAAGAATTATGGAAATTTTGTCGTGTTCGATTAGAATTGAATTAAATTCTACACATTATTTATGTAAAATTCGCTCAATACTCACACGAGATTAGGGTTATGTTTGACACTTCAAAATGTATGTAGGTGGAGAAAAATGTTTGAATTAAGAACTATTGTCTGAACTAGACTATTGTATAGACCTGAATTTTGAAATGCTGCATCCGAACGGTAAGTTACGTTAGATGAGGTAAATATGTTTGCTAAAAAGAGTTAAAAAATGTTCAGATAATATGACCTGATCAAATTAGACATACAGATCGGACCAGATCCGATTAGAATAGACAAATCAGACAAACAAATTAGTCCAATTATATTTAATGGAGTCATTTCTAAAATTTACAACTCCATATATATATGACAACTTTAGTCTTATCACTCCGATTAATAGTGTGCATGGTAAAAAAATGATAATAAGTTGAATGAATTAATAGATTTTTATATATGTGCAACTTTGATGTCATATGAAGTGTAAAATTATTTCATTATTTTTATATCTTCAATATATTGAGGATATTTCTTTAAAATTGTAAAAAATTTAAGGTGAAAAATTATTTCTTTATTAAAATTTATATCTTCTTTTTATTTCTAAATATACATAAAAGGTAAAGCATGCATAGAAGTTTTTAAAATCTTATTTTTAATACTTTTTTCAAACATTGTAAAATTATGGTTAAGAATTATGGAAATTTTGTCATGTTAGGTTTAAATCCAACAAAATTCTATACACTATTTATGAAGAAATTTTTCAATATCCATGTTGGCTCATAGATTAGGCTTTAGTTTGGCACATCAAAATTTTGGTTGAGGCCAATGTCTGAATTAAGGACTATTGTTTGAACTATAGACGGTTGTGCAGAGATGAATTTTGAAATGAGGCCATCAAAATTTATTTTTTTAATTTTTAAACTGCACTCATACAACTTTAATAATATCACTATATTTGAAAACTAATATTTTCATAAGTTATCATATGGATCATACTATATACTCCGTATAAGTCTATAATAGAGGAAGTAAGTATACATCTCACAGAACTATATGTTCAAAAAAGAAATTATAGAAAAAGATCAAAAGACTGATTTGAAAATTTCTAAAACGTAGAAGGGCTAATATTTGAAAAAATGGACTAGACCCATTTTAAGATAAATAAAGTACAAACATGTGTTTTTAGTTTTGAAAAAAAATTAGCCACAGATGAAATTTAATGCATAAATATAGGCATGGAGCATTTTCCTTTTAGTCATGTAAATATATTAATTTTAATTGGATGCGACTGATAGTTATTAAAAAAATGTTTTTAGTGGAAAATATAATCTGGAATCATGTTCAGATAATAAGTTCAAAAATAAGGCATACTCAATAAAATTAAACATACATTTTAAACAATGTTATAATCGACTAAATGAATTATTTTCCATTAGTAAAATTAAACAATAAAATCATTTTATCCCGTGCACGGCACGGGTAAAGATACTAGTATTATTCTAAAAAAACTTCTATTTTTTCAACAATAATTTGATATACTTCGTATATGATATAATGTTTGGTTTCAAAGTGAAATCGAAAACGTATGGTATATGTTAAAATACTACCTCCGTCCCTGATTGTTCTTTCAAATTAAAGTGGCACGGTGATTAAGAAAGTAAGAATTGTGTGGTGGAGAGTTGTGCAGAGGAGAGAGAACCTGAAAGTCTTATTCAATTTTTTTTTTAATTATGAAAATGACTAATTACACAATATCATATTCGGAATAAATGATATTATATCCATTTTGTTTGAATAATTTTATTTATTTTTGTTAAGGATCGCTATTGATTTAATTATATCTATATTGTTCAAGATATTTTAGGAGAATGTGATGTTTTTTAATATGTAGCATGTTGAACTGCTTTATTAATAACCTAAACTAAAGCTAATTTCAAGAAAAGTGACCACATTAATATTTGGACAAAAATGTGACTAATCCAAAGTGACATCTCTATACTAACTTCAACAGATGTAGCTAGAAAGATAATTTTAACCTTACATATTCTTATTATTACAGCTCAAAATAAAAAATTAGTGTTTGATGAAAAAGTTGATTGTTAAGCCTGATTAGTCGAAAAACGGAATTACCAAATGGACTCTTAATATCTATAAACAATACATTTAAGAACTGCAGACTTGATACTCTAAGAGTCTAAGGTATATTATTCCAGACTACTACTGTTTAGAGGCTCAAGACATTATTCCAGTACGGAGCCCGATTGGTGAGGCTCATTCGACCCACTTTGGCCCATTGGACCCACCTTGGCCCATTTGGGGCATTGGGGTAGAAATGCCCCCCCTATAAATAGAAGTTTCCCCACCATGTGTAGGGATTTTTCTCTTGATCCCTTTTTCTCCTCCTTCTCTCTAGCCTAGCTCAATACTTCATTAATGGGAGCTCAAGTTGTACATTGTAATGGTGAAGAGAGTATTAATGAGAATGGGAGGACTTGGACATTAGCCTAAAAAGTCATGCGATTTTCTCCCTTTCGGGTTTCCATGTAAAAACAGAGCATTCATACCAATTTATATTTGTATATGCTATATCGTGTTGGATTAAAGTCAACGAAAGTGAAATGTTGAAGACTGTGTGTTTCTTTTCAAAAAGGGAAATGTGACACTTATTTTAGAACAATAAAAAAAATAGTACAAGCAAAATGTGACTGTTAAGAGGACGAGAAACAAAATATTGTACTCTGTATATGAAACACTAATTACACCATTTTCTTTCTATAACATTAATGATTCGTGTTGCTTGATAGTATCCATGCTTTATTTTAGTTTGATCATTTATGGACTGAAGTGTGGGTATGATTCTATTTAGAGGCAAAATAATTACCGGTGAGTGTAGCTCAACTGATATATAGGGAGTGTCACAAGGGGTAAGTCTCGGGTTCGAATCTCGACAACTGCGATAAG